AAGACAAGCCACGGAATGGAACAGAAGAGCTGCAATGCTTGTGACTGACGCCTGATTCGCGGGTAGAACAGCTGCAGATTAAAGAGAACAAGGCAATGGTGGAAAAAGAAAACAGGAAAAGTTCAAGAGCAGACAGGCAAGTCGCAGAAGAGGGCACACGGTAGCCAATAAATACACAGATAATACATACAATAAATCCATGCTTAACATGACTACCAATCAGGATACAAAGATTAAATAATCAAAATAAAATGAGATGAAGTTTCACATTCATTAGATTGACTTAGAACTTTGAAGTCTGACAGTTCCAGGAGCTGGTGACATTGTGGGAAAATTAGTACTTGTACATGCTGCTAGTGTTTAAATGGGTACAACCACTTTGGAGAATAGTCAGGTTTGGTAATTTTTTTTAAAGAGATTTTATTTATTTGACAGAGAGTTCAAAAACAGGGGGTGGGCAGTAGAGGGAGAGGGAGAACCAGGCTCCCCACTGAGCAAGGAGCTGGACACAGGGCTCTATCCCAGGACCCTGTGATCATGACCTGAGCCAAAGGTAGATGCTTAACTGACTGAGCCACCCAGGCGCCCCAGGTCTGGTAATGTTAATGTGAATGAATATCCTAGGGAAACATTCTATGTGGGCTTGAGAGACATGAACACGGATGTTCATGTCGTGGCCATCCCATCCACAGAATGGCTAGATGAGCCGCGTTATAGTCTTAATGGAACATACACTGAAAGAGGTAAAGATCCTCGAAGAAAGTCAGGAAATGGAGTCCTCCTTCTTGCTCTGTTTCTGACTGATGACAGGGAGTTACATTAGTCACCTGTTCCTTTTTACAGAATGCTGTCCCCAGATATTCCTGTGGCTTACTCACTCAGCCTCTCCAGATCCGGATGCAAATTCCCATCTGCTTCAAGAGACTTCCTTGACCCCAGGATCCGTACAACCAGTATTTGTACTCCCTGACCCTTCTTTGTCAAGAAACAGAGTGGTTTAAAAGGTGAGGCCAGGGATGCCTGCGCAGCTCCGTCAAATTAGTGTCCAGGTCTTGGTTCTGGCTCAGGTCACCATTTCAGGATTGTGACAGTGAGCCCTGCATGGGGCTCTGTGCTCAGCAGAGTCTCCTTCCCATCCCCTCTCTTTGCCCCCCACCCCGCTTGTGCATACTCTCTCTCTAAAATAAATAAATCTTGGGTGCCTGATTTATTTATGGCTCAGTGGGTTAAGCCTCTGCCTTGGGCTGAGGTCATGATCTCGGGGTCCTGGGATCGAGTCCCACTTCGGGCTCTCTGCTCGACAGGGAGCCTGCTTCCTCCTCTCGCTCTGCCTGCTTCTCTGCCTCCTTGTGATCTCTCTCTGTCAAATAAATAAAATCTTTTAAAAAAATGAAATAAATAAATCTTTAAAAATTTTTTAATAAAAATAAATAAATAAGTAAATAAAAGGTGAGGCCAGACCATGTTCTAATCCCAGATTTACCTTGTGCTTGTGTGTATCGCTTTAAAGTTGGTTAAGCCTTCTGTGACTCAGTTTCCTCCTCTGTAAATGGAGACAATAATAGTTTTCACCTCAGGGGATTGCTGGGGAGGACCAGGTAAGTTAATATGCCGCAGACTTAGAACAGTGCCTTATACAAAGAAGTGCTAGTTAACAGTAAATTACGCGGCAGTTAAACCGAATGACGTGGGTAAATCTCATAAACTGGTTGCTGAATGACAAGGGCAAGTCCCACGTTCATCTCACTCCTCCTTGAACTTCCCTCCTGATTACGGGCATGTGCGTGGTCCAGGCTTTGGTCACACCTACAGTGAGGTGTCCCCATGGGTTCCAGTGCCTCCCAACTGCTGTCCATGCCTCCCAGAGCCCGTGAGAGTCCATTTTGGGCAGTATGGGTTGAACTGATTGAAACGAATGCATTTTGACAAGTCTGTGAATGTCAGAGGATGAAACTCCACTGACTCTCTCAGACGGGGTATTTTAAGAAGCCGCAGTAAGACGTGAAGATGGAGGGAGCAACAGAGCAGGTGAGTGACACGGATACCCGGAAAGGGAGAGTATCCTAGAGGGAGGCTATTTCCAATGGCAGGAGTTCTGGGATTCCCAGACAAGAGAGCCTGCGGGCTCTCACGCAGCCCGTTTCTGAAGACTTTTCTAGGGTCTACTGTGCGACTGCAGCATTAACTGTTATATTCAAAGAGGGCTCTGAGCATTTAGAAAACATGTAGGGGCCCAACAGACACATGAAAAGATGCTCCACATCACTCATCATTGGGGAGAAATGCAAATCAAAACCACAAGGAGACAGCACCTCCCACCTGTCAGGGGGCTTAAAATAAAAAATGCAAGAAACATGTTGTTGAAACACAAGAAACATAAGAAACAACACATAAGAAACAACAGAAACAACAGAAACAACATAAGAAACAACAGAAACATAAGAAACAACACAAGAAACACGTGTTGGTGAGTATGTGGGGAAAAGGGAATACTTGTACGCTGTCGGTGGGGATACAAACTGGTGCAGCCACCGTGGAAAACAATATGGAGGTCCCTCAAAAAGTTAAAAATAGAATTACCATCTGATCCAGCAATTCCACCATTGGGTATTTACCCAAAGAATACAAAAACACTAATTTAAAAGAATACATGCATCTCTATGTTTATTGCAACATTATTTATAATAACAGCCCAAGTGTCCACTGATAGATGAATGGATAATTACTCAGCCAGAAAAAAGAATGAAATCTTGCCATTTGCAATGATGTGGATGGACCTTGAGGGTATAATGTTAAGTGAAATAAGTCAGGCAGGAAAAGACAAATACTGTGATTTCACTCCTATGTGGACTTTAAGAAACAAAACAAATGAATAAAGAAAAAAAGAGACAAACCCCAAACTGACTCTTAACCACAGAGAACAAACAGATGGTTGCCAGAGGGGAGGTGGGTGGGGACATCGTGAAATAGGTTAAGGGGATTAAGAGCACACTTATGACGATAAGCACCAAGTAATGAATAGAATTGGTGAATCGCTAAATTGTACACCTGAAATGATACAACACTCTATGTTAACTATACTGGAATTAAAAAAAAATGTTTTTAAATGAAAAAGAAAAAAAAAGATCTCGAAGGATCTAAGCAGAGCCCTTAGAACTGGCCACAGGAGGGAGAGTGGAACTGGGGACAAGGAGGGTGAGCAGAGGCTTTAAAAAGAAAAAAACATTATATACTTTTGCATGATTTGTATTTTTTACAATGAGAAAGAATTTATAACTTGTGAGGTATTTGAAGGAAAAAATTATCTTGCCCGTGAGGTACTCGGTGAATGGGCATCACTATTATTCTTTAAAATGAAGACAGACTTCTCACCCAGCACAGAGGTCCCCAGGCAGAAAGGCAGCCCGCCGGCACCCCTTCCTCCTGCATTGCCGCTGGCCCTTCAGCAAGTCTCACTGGGTCTAACCTCCAGTGTACATCCTGAACCCACCAGCTTCTCACTGCCCCTCAAGACCCGGCTGCCTGCCAAGCTCATCCCTCCCTAGACCCACATGCCATAGTCTCCCGCTAGTCTCCTGGCAGCCGCCCTTCCCCCTCCAACTCCCTCTGCCCAGCAGTTGAGGTTCCTTAAAATCCCCAACCAGGTAGTTGGCACACACCAAGCAGTTGCCATGTGCTAGGCACTGTGATAAACCAATCACTCAAGCTCAGTTAACCCTTTAACAACACTGGGAATTAGGTACAGGTAAAATCTCCGCTTCACAGGTGCAGAAATGGAGGCATAGAGCATCCAGCAATTTGCCCCAGGTCCACATGGTGGAACGGCAGAGCTGGGATCCAATCCACCTGGAGCACACACTCTTCACCACCTCCCCACGTCACCCCCTTACAGCCTGTCTGTGCTCCTCTGTTCGGGCTCCAAGCATTGAGCGTGCGCCGTCTGACCCTTGCCTGCCTCTCCAGCCTTGGCCCCCACTCCCTTCTCCTTGCCCCCACTCCCTGGCTCCCCAGCTACTCCCCTGCCTGGAAAGTTCTTTCTCTCATCTTCACATCACTCAGGTCTCTGTTCGAATGCCACCTCCTCCAATAAGTCTTCCCTGATCACTCTTCCTAAAATAGCCCCCACTTTATTCTCTGTCCCTTTCCTGCTATCATTTTATCCGTAGATCTCATGGCATCCTGAGGTGACATCATCAAGTTACCTGCCTGAATGTTTACTTTCTGCCTCATCTCTCTAGAATGTCTGCTTCACGGGGGCACAGGCTCTGTATAGTAGCACAGTGAATGAATAAATACACTCGAGGCAGCCCATGAGGACCCTGGCCCAGACCTGTCATGTGGGACTGCCTGGCATCTGTCCAGTTCCCCTGCCCAGGGGGCTGCTTCTGCCCTCTGGGTCAGAGGTGGGACCCCATCCTTCTTTCCGGGGACCTGGACCAGCAGGAAAGAAGGTGAAGTGAGATCCTTGGGATTCCTTCCCGGTTTCTCCCCATCTGGTTCATCCCCATAACCACGAGGCCTCTAGCCCGCCAACCACCTAGAAGGTGAGCTCACAACCCTACCCTGCCAAAGTGGTAAAGATGTGAAGCATTGCCCCACCCAAGGAGATGTGCACTTTAAAAGAGGCCAAACAGGAATGACACTTTACCCCAATGTCTGACTGTGTCATGACGTGACTTCCAAGGCCAGGATGCAGGAGGGGGCTGCTGTCTTTCCCTCTCCCAGGCCTTGGCACACAGGGCATCTCAGAAGAGTGTTGAGGGAGGGGGAGTGGGAGGGGTGGGTCCACACTCACCCAGTGTGTCAGAGACCAGGATCTGGCTGACCCCAACCTCAAATGTCCCAGCTGCCTGTCTGCCGGCCCATTCAACCCTCCTCTTCCTTTTCCACCACCCAGAAGGCCTGGCTCTGTCCCCGAAGCGCCCCCAAATGATCCTCAGGCTCCACTTCAGGGACTCTCGCCAGAGACTCCCCCAGGGCACCCAGAACAAAGGCCTTACCCATTTCAATTCCGCAGATGACCAGAGCAGCGATCACTGCACCTGCCGATGTCCCAGCAAAGCGATGGGTGGTTTCCAGCATCCGGGGGGCCAAGTCTCGGAAGGCATCCACAGCCCCGGCCTGGTAGAAGGAGAGAAATCCACTACCAGAGAAGGAGATGGAATGAGGGGTGTCTGGGTCCCCTTTGAACACCTGTTCTTCCATCTCCTCGGCCCCTCAGTGCTCGCCTCTCGGGCTGCTGCTCTCTTGCTGGAGCTCCGACCAAGCTTCCCTGCCAGCTCAGAACCTAGAAAGGGGCTGTCTCTCCTGGGTTGGCTGGGACACCCACGGATGGCACCGGCAGCCACTGCCTGGGCCTGTCGCGCTCCTCCAGGAGGCAGTCCCAAAGGCTGGTGAAAGGCTTCAGGCCCCGGTCGAGGTGCAGAAGGCACCTCGAATGTGCGAGCAGTGTCCTGGGCGTGCGGGCACCCCCCTGGCTTCATCGCGTGGCTAGAGTCATCTCAGCCCCTGGCCTGTGCTGTGGACAACAGGCAGCATTGGCAGCTGCCACAGGGACTGTCCCAGGGAGGCAGGCACTGCTCAGCCCAGGAAGCTCCACACACTGAGTTGCAAAACCTCCGCTGATGGTTATCAGAGGCTTCCTCTCTCTCTGACACGCTGCAACAGCCAAGGAATTTTATGCTGGCCTCCCTCCAAGGGGAAGGCGTCCCCACCCCCACAGGGGCCAGAGCCAACAGGTCGGTCATGGTTTTTGAGGGGGACACCCTCACACCACCCATGGCCCTGCCAGCATCACCCCTCCCTGGGCTCCTCTTCCAGGCCCTGTGGGGCATGCGTGGTGTGTTACACAATTGTTTTTATTTGTTCTTGCGAAAGAACTTACGTGTTTGTTCACATGTTAGGACATGGCCATGGGCAAAATGGCAAAGGAAAAGAAGTCAGGCTTCAGGGCCGCACCCATTGCCACCTCTCCATCTCTCCCCACCCTTTCTCCCCAGCCCTACGTTGACCCACTCTCCTGTAACACCCTCTCACCTAGTCCCAGACTGTCATGTCATCTCCTAAGTATACAAGAAAAAATCGGACTGAACTCTAGATCACTCTAACTGTCTGGAGCTTCGCACAGCGCACTCTTCTAATGATAAATTTGAGATGACAATATTTAACCCTAAGAATGCACAGCTTGGGAGGCCAGATATGGGGACCTCGGGGGCAGAGGTATTTTGGAGCCCTGGGGGCCAAGGGACTGGTGCCTGGGGACCAAGTTTGGCTACAGGTCATGCCCCCTCTGGAGCTGTACACAGTGGCCCTGGAGACAGGGCCCCTCCTCAGTCCACAAATTTCTCTGCCTCAGATATCGCAAAGCTGGCAAGATCACATCTCTCTCCTCCCCAACAAGACCATGCAGTGGCAGAAACAGAATTAGAATGGGACACCAAGTCCCCTACTCGATGCTCGGTCCAGCTCCCCACTCTGTTACAATGTGATGTCAATGCTCCCCCCAACGCAAGGAACTCCCGTGCACACTTCGCCTCCCTGGTCCAGCCTGATATCCACAATGCGGGCAATGATCAGGATTTGGTAAGAAGGGACTTTTCTCTCTTGGGTGGATAGTCCCAGATACAGAATCGCTTCCTCCATCTGGGAAGAGACTTTTTTTTTTTTAAAGATATTATTTATTTATTTGACAGAGAGAGAGAGAGAGAGGTCACACGTAGTCAGAGAGGCAGGCAGAGAGAGAGGAGGAAGCAGGCTCCCGGCTAAGCAGAGAGCCCAATGCGGGGCTCGATCCCAGGACCCTGAGATCATGACCTGAGCCGAAGGGAAAGGCTTTTACCCACTGAGCCACCCAGGTGCCCCTGGGAAGAGATCTTTTGACCAAATGAGTGTGTAACAGGGAAAATGCGTGTGTCCGTGGGCACGCACACATGCGCATGTGTGCAGAGAGAGGTATAGAGCTCACCGCTTCTTGGGAATAAGACCAGCCAATGTAAAATAACCAGAGAAACGCACAAGGCAGTCTGTAATTAAGGACTGACTTGTGCAGCATTGAGACTCCTGCCAGGGAAGCGAAGATACGAGGGCGAGTAGCATGGTTTGGGGGATGTAAAGAAGCTAGAAGCTAGAAAGATACGGCTATAAATTGCCAGGCATGTGGTATGTCTGTTATTATTAAAGGGTAAGAAGAGTCAAGGCTTCTGGAACAGATGGACGTGGGAGATGAGGTGGGATGGAAAGGTGGGGTCGGAAGAGGAAGGCGTGATCTACTTGTGACACGAAGGAGGAGCTGTCAGGGAGCTCAGACGTGGCAAAGAGACCTGGATTGGAGGGTGAGGAAGGAGAATAGCACCATAGCCTCCTAGAGATGTGGATGCCCAGGCTAGCGCAGCAGCAGGAGGGAGACAAGCTAATGAAACAACGGCTGCAGAGCCTCTCGTGACCAGGGGACTGGCTGGAAGAGGGTGAGTCACTGCTGTTGCCGCGTGTTCAGCCTGGGGGTCGGGAGGGGTAGGCAGCCTTTGGCTGACTTAAGGAAATGGGGGCAGAGCTGGGGAAACTGGGTAGAGGATGAGTTAACTTGGAAAAGTGTCTGAGGAGACAAGAAGATGCTGGTGCTGGAGGCAGGGGGAGGGAAGGCTCCAGAGAGGTGAGCAGAGACCCCTGTCCTTGAGGCTGCAGAGAAGGGTGAGAAGTCTGAGGGGGTTGGCACGGGGCTATGTTGAAGAAAGACAACCTTGGACAAGTATTCTTTTTTGAGGTTCACCTCGCTATCCCCAGTAAAATAGGAAGTGAGATCACCTTGCTCTACACAGGCTGCCTGAGCTCAAGAAGGCTGGGGCCCACTACCCTTTCAAGGACAGTTCCTGATGTGGCCTCTGGTGCCCCACTCTCCACTTCCCAGGCTTGGCTGCTGGGTTAGACCACAGTCCCTGTGGAGCCCACATTGATGAGGGCCCGTGGGCCGCAGGTCTCTACTGTCTTGGGCCTCAGAGTTGAACACCTGAAAAGGTTTTTCTCATCTTCCCTTGTTTCTGACTTTACACCGAAAGCCCTAAGAACTTCAAGTGGAGGACATCAAGGAAAGATCACATGCCAGCATTTCTGCATTTGATTTTTCAAGTCGGCTCATAATCCCATCAGGGGTTTTGAACTCAGTTGGCACGGCCCATGTGACTCATCAGTCCCTGAGGCAGTCCCAGGCAAGAAACAGAGACTGCTCACCACGCATGATCCCAACAAGGCAACCTGGAACGAATTTACGGAAGAACCCAGAGTTCCCATAAGTATGAAATATGTGAAGCCTACCAGGGCACAGCTCTCGAAGAGAAAGGCAGCATCTGGATTCTGGGTTAGTGTCCAATGATGGCGCACCACCCTCAGCTCAAATCTTGTAACATGTTTATTTAGTGAAGAAACGGGTTGTTTCTTGAGGTGAGTGAGAATGAAGGTCACGGCATCACCCATGAATAACCTTGCCAATAATGTTTAACCTGAATCTAATTCAGACTTAACTTTCCAGTTCACGGTGAATACAGAGTATGAAGGAAAAAGTGAAGAGTGCCGGGTGGAAATAACAAGACAAAGTGAAACTGTGGGAAGGGCTGGTGGCTCCATGGTAGCCATTCCCTGTCCACTGGTTCTTTGCCCACACCCCTATAAAGCAGCTGAAAGACCTGATCCTTGATTTTCCAGGCACCCCCCCCACAACCTTGATCTAGAGACAATCATAAGATCCAATTGCGGTCAGTGAGAAGCAAGCGGAAATCTGCTGGTGGCTTCTAAGGAAGACTTTCCTCTTTGGTAAAAGGAGAAAGGTACATAGGGAAAGCCCCTTTTGCTCCGTCCGCCATTTTTCCTGCCTGAGATGCTGCCCTGTGAGAACTCGATGTTTGGAGCTGTAACAGTCATCTAGTACCCATTGGGGGAAACATGGCAGACACAATGGAGTGTATGAGTTATCTATTGCCGTGCCACAGATTACCTCACAACTTAATACCTTACAGTAACATTTATGATCTTACATAGTTTCTGAGCATTAGGAAGCCAGAAATGGCTTGTCTGAGTGGTTCAACATTCTCATGGCTGTTGGTGGGCATCAGTTATTCTCTGAGTTAGAAAGCTCTGATGCCTCACTACATGGACCTCTCCAAGGGGCTGTTCACAAGAAGGTGGTGTGATTTCCCTGGAGTGAGATGCAAGGAAGTGAGAGAGTGGAAGAGAGATAAAGAGAGAAAGAGAGAGAGAAGAACAAGAAATAGCGTGAACCCAATATGGAAATTATAATCTTTTTATAACCTCATCTCGAAGGTGACACCATCCCTTCTGCCATATTCCACTGGCCACATGGGTCAACCCTGGTAAAGTGTAGGAGGGATGTGAATACCAGAAGGTAGGAATTGTCAAGGGTTGATTTTGGACGCTGGCTACCACCCTGAGAATAGCAAAAGAATCTTTGATCGACTATTGGTGTATTCTCCGTGTGGTGCAAGTGTTTACACCTTTTTCTAAAAAGTCAGCAATTTTTTAAAAATGAAGCTTAGGGAGAGAGGAGAAAATCTGACCCAATGGAAGTGGGGACAGAGCTTGCAGGTATCCTTCATGTTGTCCTTTATATGACCTTGAGATAATTCATGCAGCCTAAATCATATCTTCTCATTATGAAATAGCTCCCACGTAAAGTAAAGTACCCAAAATAGAACAGCAAACATCCAAGTACCTACCAGACATATTGAACAACCTTAACATTTTACCACATCTCAGTCAAATATTTGTTTGGGCTTAAAAGAGTGAAACACCACAGGGTGGAGGTGAACCTCCTTTGAACCCTTTCGTTTCTTTTTTTTTTTTTTTAAAGATTTTATTTATTTATTTGTCAGAGAGAGTGAGCACAGGCAGACAGAGTGGCAGGCAGAGGCAGAGGGAGAAGCAGGCTCCCCACTGAGCAAGGAGCCCGGTGCGGGACTCGATCTCAGGACACTGGGATCATGACCTGAGCTGAAGGCAGCTGCTCAACCAACTGAGCCACCCAGGTGTCCCCCTTTGAACCCTTTCTTAATCTTACCTCCCTCTCTCCTTCCCATGGGAAACCAGGTTCCCAGATTGGACAGAATTTGTCTCCTCCATGTTTTTACACTTTTATTACATGAATAGGATTTATAAAAAATGTATAGTATTGTTTTAAACACATTTCTAAATTTCACATA